TCCCACAAGACTTCCCTCTTCCGTCCTTTGAGCTCTTTCACCCGTCCTGATAAGTATTTGTTGGACGGATTAATTACTGAATATGTGGGTCAGTGAGTACGAGAACCCTGGCACAATGCTTGGTATGCAGTATGTGTAGTCCTTCCTTTTTTATGCTTCATAAATACAGATGGGCACAGTCCTTCTCTGGAGGGAAGGATGGAAGTGCCCAGAACTGAGCAGACACCATAGTAGGTATTCTGGGCTGAGCAGCTTGTCTGGGAAACAGAGATGGGGAGCTGGCAAGTGACAGAGGGAAGGGCAGAACTGGGCACAGGGTGTATTCGCCAGCAACTTCTAGAAAACCAGGCCCCTGCCCCCAGGTTGGTGGCATGGAGTGAGGTGTGTAATGTGCCCTGGTTATCAGGTAGGCTGGTGGCGGGGCAGGAGGGAGAGAGCAGGCGAGACCTGGTCTTGCAGAAAAACACACAGCATCTTGCTTAAAATGCCATTTTCCTGGTCTCGGATGCCTCTGCTGGGTCTTCTCACCCACAGCTGTTTCGACAGAGCATGTTCTGTCCCCTGCACCCAGTAGGTGCACTCTCTGGCAAGGACTCTGATTGGCCCAGCCAGGTCACGTGACAGCGCCTGCCAGGAGGTAATGTTGGTAGTGGGATGGGTTATGTTGGCAACCTCAGTTGCCTCTCAGAGTGGGCAGGAGCACGAGCATCCCAGGAGAAAGAGGGGTGCTGTTCGGGCAGGGAGGGGTCTGGAAAGATGGAGCAATAGGGCTCCTTCTCATTGGGGGTCCATCTATTTGTTTCTTTTCCTTTGCGAGGACAAACAGGATCTCACAGAAGAACTGAAGTTTAATGAAACAATTTACATGCCAAAATAGAACAAGCCCCACCACAGAGCCATTGTCTGGGTTGAAGCATAACCTGAAAGATGCATTTGAGTTTTCAAGGGTCCATTTATCCAGGAGCAGAGGAGAGAAGAGAAGGTAATGGAAACCCTAATAGTTCCATTACTTCTGAAGAAGACTCTCATTAGTGCTTTTTCACTGGCTTGCTATTCCCGGCAATTAGTGGTGGGTGGGTGAGCGCAGTTCTTAACCAACCTCCCAGAGCCTCCGTTTGCCCAGCTGCAAAATGGACACAATGCCTGGGAGGGTTCCTTGGGGTAAGACCTGGGAAGTGTGATCCAGTGACACCCACACCAGTCCTCAGTGCACTGTGTTTTGTTTTTCGGAGGGTGGGCACACCTGGCGATGCTCAGGAGTAACTCTGAACTCTGCACTCAGGAATCACTCCTGGCAGTGCTCAGGGGACCATATGAGATGCCGGGAATTAAGCCCGGGTCAGTGCTGTGTTAGGCAAGTGCACGCTCTCTGCTGTCCTATCTCTCCGACCCATCAGTGCTGGAACCATCTCTGCTAACGTTGTCTCCCCTGGCTCCTGGCCAGCACATTGCCACAGCTCCTCGGGAGTTTTGCATGGTCTCCCCAGAACACCCCCCTCCTCCCTCTCCTTCCATCTCAAACAAGGGAGGAGGGACTCACCATGGCCTCGGAGGGTACCAGGAGCGTAGAGCTGGGAACATGGGGACATAGGCAAGAAGCAGAGTGGGGAGGAGGTGCAGGTATCAAGCTGTGTGCATCCTGGAGGGCTGCCTGGAGGACGAAGGCCCAAGCCTGGGGAGGAATGGAGTGGGAGCGGCGGTTCCTGACCCTATCAGCAAACCTTCCTTGACATGGGTCCCCTCATGAGAGCCAGGGAGGTTTCAGCTGGAAGTGCGCCCACAAAGCTGGGGATCTGTTTCCTTCTGCTGCTTTTACCGCTGATTTGTTAAGTGCTAAATGTCATTATCCTTCCCTTACACTAGAAAAAGAGTTAACAGCCTGGGGAAAGGAGATATTTCACTTCATTTGGTACCCAGCCACGCCATCCCCCAGGGTGCTCCCTCGGGGCCATTTCGGGATGGGGGGCAGGGGTGAGGGGGTGCTGTTCTGTTCTACCTCCAGCCCCTGGTGCAGCTCTGCTCAGGCTTGGCTCCATGCTGGTGGGAGGCCAGGGGCCAGCTCAGCCTGGTCGCAGGGGCATCGTCAGTGGCCCTCTGAGCGGTCCGACACTAGTCTAGGTACCCGCATGGAAGGAGCAAACGGGGGCCAGAGGAAGTGACTTTTCCAAGGTCTTCCTGCTCATTAGAATCTTCTGGGCATCAGGTGGTGACAGTGACAGAAATGCAATTTCAGCTTCACAGGAGGACACACTCAGCAACCAAAGCTGTCCAATATGCCAGGCTCAGGACAGGGCCTAGGGGAGAGCAGGCAGGGATCTGCTGCAGAGAGTGGAGAGACAGTCAGAGGGAAAGGTGCTCTCCTTGCTTGTGGCTGGCCCAGGTTCGATCCCTGAAACCCCGAGTGATCCCCGGAGTTTTGCCAGGAGTAATTTCAGAGTGTAGAGTCCAGGAGCTGAGCATCTGAGCATCAGCAGGGTGTGCTCCCTTCCCAAATCAAAACAAAGCAATATAGAGTCTGGGGACGAAAAAGATAGTATTGCAGGGAGGGCATTTTCCTTGCATACAGCCAATCTGGGCTGGGAAGGAAGGAAGGAGGAAAGGAATAAATAAGTAAATAAATAAATAAATAGGGAAACAGAGAGGCCTTCCCAACTTCTTGGGAAGTGGCCCTGGCCCCAGTCTGTGTGTCTGGGAGAACAAAGTCATCCGGTTCCCGTCCCAGGGAAGGTGAGTGGAGTGGTGGGTGGGTAGGTCTCAGTGGCGAGCAGAGGCTATGCGTGTGGGCCACCCCTCCTGGACGTGAGAGGAAGAGAGAGAAATCCATGCATGGGGGTTGGGGGGTGGGGGGCCTCACTCCTGATGCCACAGACACCTGGAATGCTACCGTGCGTGCCATAGTGGCCCCTGGCTATCGAGTACCTTATGGAAAAGCATATTAGCCCTGAACTCAAACTCTTGAGGCTTCATATAAATCAGCGTATTAGTATTTTTTCAAACCTGAAAAATGCAGAAAATTGAGGTGCAGAGGGGTGACAGGGTGGTGCAGCCATGCCCACCGGGCTGATTTCCTGTCTGCACCTTGAGAGCCAAGGCCTGTGTGTTCTCATCCATTTCCCGCCTGAGCTGCAGCGGGTGCTGCAGCTGGCTGGCTGATGCCTGCTAATATCTGACCAGCAGGGATGGAAACAAAGCAGCGAGAAAACCCTCTAAAGAGAGGGGAAATGCAAAACAAGTCACAAACCATGGTGGAGGTGGGGAGGGGCAAGGGGCTTGGTGTCCTGACTTGACTATTTTGCAGACCCCATATTGGAACTTTCTGGAATTTTAGGTTCGGTGAGGGCCACCACACGCAGCTTGACCACGCTAAGAGTTGGTGGTACTTAAGAGTTTAAATCATAAACCAAACAATTCTATTCTCTCACTCTGCGTGTCGAATGCCCAGTTTTTCTTCATTCTCTGGTAGAATATTCAAGAGTGGACGCAGGTGGTGGGACTCCTGGGGTTCTGGAACAGGGAAGCCAAGTAAAAGTTCCTTTGAGGAGTTTCCCGTGAGGGCTGGGGGGGTCTTACTGACCAAGCTGACCCAGGAAGAGGCCTGCTAGGGCAGTAGGAGAGAGCCCTGAGCAGCCAAGTGCAGATGGTGTCTCTGCTCCTCCGCCCCTGCCCTTTTTGGTTTGTTTTTGAGCCACATGCAGCTTCATTCAAGGCTGACTCCGGGCCCTGAGCTCAGAGAGCATTCCAGCAGCGGCTTGGGGGGGCCTTCGGGCCTTCAGGGATGCCGGAGATCGAACCCAGTCATGCACATGCAAGTGGGTAATGCCCTATCCACTTTCACCCGGGTCCAGGGTGGTTCTGCCCATAAACCTCACTCACTCTCTGCCCTTTGCCCCCTAGCCATGGCATTTCTGACCCGAGACCCACTCCAATCCACTAAAGTGAAGGGGGACATATCAGGAAGCCAAAGACAGACAGGCCTCAGGGATTGCACATGGGACTTAAAAAGGAGCCCAGATGGAGGCAGGCCAGCGGGTAGGTGATTAACCACCATCTTTATTCGCAGCTACAAACTTCTACCCTTCAATCTGCAGCTCCTCGTTGTGTCTTGTTTGAGGCTGCCCCCATCCTCATCTGCTATCCTAAACGAGTTCCTCTACCCATCTGGAGACAAAAAACTGCCCTAAAAGTCTCAATTTGCTCATTTCCAGTTCTCAGGAAGAATCTGATAGGTGTCACTGGCCTGGATGAGGTGGGGAAGGGGCAGGAGGGGTGGGACCTGGATGGGGCGGGGCTTGGGAGAAGCAGGACCTGAACGGGGCGGGGCCTGGGTGTGGCTGGGGCGGGGCCTGGGTGGGGATAAGGCGGGACCTAAATGGGGCGGGGCTTGGGTGGGGATGAGGTGGGACCTGGACAGGGCAGGGCTTGGGTGAAGCGGGGCCTGGATGGGGCGGGGCTTGGGTGAAGCAGAATCTGAGTGGGGCGGGGCCTGGGTGGGGATAAGGCGGGACCTAAATGGGGCGGGGCTTGGGTGGAGCAGGACCTGAACGGGGCGGGCCCTGGATGGGGCGGGGCTTGGGTGGGGATAAGGAGGGACCTAAATGGGGCGGGGCTTGGGTGGAGCAGGACCCGAACGGGGCGGGCCCTGGATGGGGCGGGGCTTGGGTGGGGATAAGGCGGGACCTAAATGGGGCGGGGCTTGGGTGGAGCAGGACCCGAACGGGGTGGGCCCTGGATGGGGCGGGGCTTGGGTGGGGATAAGGAGGGACCTGGATGGGGCGGAGCTTGGATGGGGATGAGGTGGGACCTGGACAGGGCAGGGCTTGGGTGAGGCGGGGCCTGGATGGGGCGGCGCTAGCTGGGATGGGGCGTGGCCTGGACGGGGCCGGCTTGGTGGAACGTGGCCTGGACCGGGTTGGACCTGGACGAGGTCGGGACATGGGTGGGGCAGGGCCTGGACGGGGGCGGGTCCTGGCCCGGACGGGGGCGTGGCCTGGACCGGGCAGGGCTTGGCGGGCCGCCGGCGTCCATCAGAAGGAGAAAGCCCGATGGCCCCTTGGCGTGCCCGCGCCCTCGCTCTCCAGCTCCATGGTCTCAAAGAGCAGCCGCACCAGCGCCGGCCGCCCCTGGGCCACCAAGGTCCGCGCGAGCCCCAGCACCTCGGCCGTGTGGCCCCGCCACACGCGCTGCAGCTCCTGGCGCAGGCGCGGCGCCGGGTACTTGGCCTGGGCGCGGCGCAGCCACGCGTCCACCTCGCGGCCCAGCTCGCCGTCGCTCAGCTGCGCCTGGCCCCACTGCGCCAGCAGCGCCTCGAGCAGGCAGCCGAAGCCCTCGGTGTGGCTGGAGCCCGCGTCGTCCAGCTCCACGGCGCGCTTGAAGCAGGCCGCCGCGTTGGCCTCCTCGCCCTTGATGCGCAGACACTTGCCCCGCAGCAGCTGCAGCTCGGGCAGGGCGGCGCCCAGCTCCGACTCGCCCGCCTTGGCCAGGAACACCAGCGCCTGGTTCAGGGCCTCCTCGTCCACGGCCAGCAGCTCCTGCATGGCGTCCACGCCCATGTAGTAGTAGACCTGCGGCGGGAGGGCCGGCGGGCCCGGCGCGTGAGCCTTTCCCCTGCGGCGGATGCCCCCGCTCACCCCCTTCCCATGGCTGTCTATTGATTTTGGGGGGTCACACCCGGCGATGCACAGGGGTGACTCCTGGCTCATGCACTCAGGAATTACTCCCGGTGGTGCTCGGGGACCATATAGGATGCTGGGAATCGAACCCGGGTGGGCCCCATGCAAGGCAAACGCCTTACCCGCTGTGCTCTCGCTCTAGCTGACCCCCCATCCCCCCACCCCCACCCCCCGCTTTCTCCTGTCTTTAAAACGGTCCACGCAGTCCTCCCCAACCTTCCTCCTTCAAGGATTTCTCCTGGAAGATTTTGGTTCTGCCTCCCAGGAAAGCGGAGAGGAAGTATTGAATTCCAGCCCCTCCACTCTTGGCCTTCTGATTGCTATTTCTGGTGGGGCTGCAAGCGCTGTTCAAGGATTCCTCCCGACTCTGTGCTCAGGAGTGACCCTTGATGGTGCTCAGGTGACCAGATTCAGCACTGGCTCTCAACCCTGGCCAGCTGCACACAAGGCAAGTGTCTCACCTCCCGCCCTACTGCTCCAGCCCCTGGCCTGACGATGTTGAATGGGCCCTGGAATTCTCATACGTAAAATTATGATATTGTCACGACTTGGTAGCCATTTCCTGGACTCAGAAGGCCTCTGGCTAGACCATTGGTTTTCTGAAATCTCCAAGAGAGCTCGGTCAGTTCTGGGTGCTGAATTACATCCTTCCTAGCCGCTCTCCACGGCTGTGCTGGTGGGCACTGCTCAGGGTCAGAGAGATGGCCGACCTTCACTCCTGGCTTCTCAGTGCCCAGGCCTGGCCTGGCAGAGGGTAAAGAAGTTTATATGTCTTGTTTGGGGCCACACCCAGTGGTGCTCAGGGCTCACTCCTGGCTCTGTGCCCAGGGATCACTTCTGGGGGCGTCTGAGGGACCATAAGCGGTTCTGGGGATAGAAGCCAGGTGGGCACAGGTAAACACCCTACCTGCTAGTACTATTTCTCCAACCCTAAATAGGATTCCCCCCCCCCCATGAGTCATCAGGTGTCCAGCCTATAAGCTGTCTTACCTGGCCAATGTCCAGGTAGATCTTGAGGCCTGGGCACACCTTGACCACTTCCTCGAGGTCAGCCTTGGCACAGGCCAGGTGGTTCCTGTCGGGCATGTGTCCCAGCCCCAGCTTGGCCCGTTCCAGGTCGTGCAGGTAGGTCTGGATGTGGACCTGCCCCCGGAGAGTCAGACAGGAAGGGTGCTGAAGCAGGGTGCGACCCTGACCCCAGAGGGTCAGATGGGGGCGGGGGTTGCTCCAAGCATGGGGCTCCCCCTCTTTCCTACAGTCTTTTCTCAGCAGCACCTCAGGGACGGTCTATGCTGTAGCAGGAAGGCCCAAGGCTGGACCCCTGAAATCTGACATACTTGTTTGGTGTGAACTTGGAGGAGCACCCGCCCCCCCCCCCCACACACACACCCCTCGCCTTTCTGGCCCTTTGTCTCCCTGTCTGTACTATTAGGCTGTGGGTTCATTCATTGATTCATTCATTCATTCTCTCCACAAGTTTGTTCTAGGAACCTGACGTCTTCAGGCTCAGTGCTCAGTCCAAGGCTGCTGGGGTTCCCCGTCCTAGTGGGCCTTGGCGTTCTTGAAGGGGAAAATGATCACAAGTAGAGGGAATATTTCAAGGGGGCAAGGGCCGTGAAAAGTGAGGCAGGGTGTTGGGGGGGGGCGGTTACTTTGAATAAGAAAGTGGTGTGGATTTCGTGAGAATTCTCGAGACCAATAATTTGGAGGAAGGGGAAGTGACTCCAGCTTATGAGACATAAATGACAAAGATCCAGACCCCCGCTTGCATCCCCTGGGCCCCTGTCCCCCGCTTCTTGGAGACTTAAGGAAATCTAGAGTTTCTGGGTGTGGGGAGGGAGGAAGTGAAGGGGGGTAGGGGAGAGGGAAAGGAGAAGGAGGAAGGGGTCGTGCTTGTTGGCCATGAGGGGGCTCTGGCTCTAATATGGCTTCTTAGGGGCTGCGGGTTGGGGGGGTGGGAACCCTGCTTGGGACAGGCAATTGGATTTGATTGAATTCCCCTCCCCAAACCTCACGAGCTGCAAGGCTCCTTCTCTACTTCTGGCAAGTCGGCTGCACTAGGTGGGTCCACTGCTCCCCTCACGGGGCTCCCCTCAGGGGTGCAGCACACACAAGCCCCCTGCGAGTGTTGGAGAAATGTCCCTGACTGTGAGGATTCACAGGCCCTCAGCCAGGAAGGATGCTGGGCTGAGCACGGCTGGTGAATCGCCTTGGGACTAGAAGCCAGGGAGCGGGTCAGCTGGGAGGGGTAGGGTTGGGGGCTGGCTGGCGAGCCTCGAGAAGAGAGAGGAGACTTAGAACTCGGGGGGCTCTGGCCAAAAGCAGGAGGCCTGTGGGTGCTCCCAGGGGCAGACCCTGGGGGCCGATGGAGGCAGCGCTCCGTGCCCAGGAGGGGGTGAATCAGGACAAAGGACACCTCATCGCAGCTCTGCCTGGGCCTAAGAGCCGGACACCACAACCCTCATGGCTGCGTGACACAGGGCCACTCTCCCTAGCTGGCCGAGGGTGGCGCTCGGCCTGGAGTGGACGGGAGCTTGTCTGTGCAGGCTGTGAGGCCTGTGTGGAGCAGTACTGACGGCCCGGAGCCACCCGCATGCAGCCCTGGGCCTCAGAAGCACCTGCAGGGCTGGGGCAGTGCTCAGAGCCGGAGTCCCAACCTCGCTCCCACGGTGCCCCCCTGCGGCCTCGTTTCCTTTCCTCTCCAACCAGCTGACTCTGATGGATGGAGTCCCTCCCTGTGGCTCTCTTGGAGCCCCCCAGGGGAGTGGTTGGAGAGCACTAGCCCCCCTAGGCTGTGCATCAGCCTCTGAGCACCCTGAAGTTAGGTGGGAGTGAACCACGCCTTCCCAGCACAGGAGCGATCTCTGGAGGGCTCTGTGGACCCCAGTACCACAAGGATAAGTGAAGAGGCCAGATTCCTACCGTGGTCAGTCTGCAGACTTACCCCCCACCCCCTTTCTGCGTCTTTTGGGTCCCACTCTGCAGCACTAGGGAAGCGGAGGGGCTGCTCCTGGTTTCCGGCAGAGCTTGGGGACCATGCGGTACTGGGGGTCAGTCCAGGATGAGGGCCATGCAAGGCAAACCCTGAGGCCTCTGGACTGTCTCTCTGCCTCTGACCCGCTGATGCTGGGGGTCTTTCTCTCTCCCTCTTGCCCGCAGATGCCCGGGTGGGTGTGCGCCCAGCCCCGGCCCGGCCCCTCACCTTGGCCCTGGTGCAGTAGGCCTGCCCGTTGAGCGCTGGGTCCGGGAGCACGTCAAGTGCCATGTTGCAGATCCCGATGGCCATGTCCTGCTTTCCCAGGAAGTGGACGATTCTGGCGAGGCGGTTCAGAATGGGGGGCTGGCCCTTGGCCGCTTCCATTGCCTTGATCAGCCGGGGGAAGTCAGAGCTAAAATGTGAGGCTCCTTGTCTGCTAGAACCCGCTCAGCCCTCCACAGCTGCACCCGCCCCATATTGGAGGCCCATGGCCATGTCGCCAGCAAGTCCACGTACTCATGGACCTTGGGATCCCGCTCCCTAGCTCCCGGTTCCCAGAGTCCTGTGCGGTCACGGTCCCGTTCAGTGTTCCCTGGCAAATCCCTCGGATGGGGTCCATCCAGGCTGTGCTCCCAGGTTCCAGGGGCTGCTGGAAGGGGCCAGAACCAGCCTCTACTGCCTCCTGCTGGCCCAGGGGCCCAGTCTCCCTCTCTCCTCTCTGTCTCTCTCCCTCTCTTTCTAGTCCTCTCTCTGTCTCTGTCTCTGTCTCTGTCTCTGTCTCTCTCTCCTTCTCTCTATCTCTCCCTGGAGTGTACCCTCCGCTGGGCCCGTCTGAGCCTGGTGCTCCCCGTCCTCCGCAGGGCAGGCCCTCCACCCCATGCTGGGGCCCCCAGAATGGTGCGTTTGCGCGGTGGACCTGTTCCCCAAGTGCCAAACGCTGGCTGGCATCTCCCCAGCAGGCCACCTGGGACTGTGCCACCCCAGTGCAGAGTGACCCCTGCCTCTCCCACGCAGATCAGGGCCTAAGGCTGCCCTGGACGCGAGGGCCCATAGGAGCGCTTCCTCCCGGCCGCCCTGCACCCAGAGGCAGACAGCTCCCAGGAGGAGGGGCTGAGGGACAAGCCTGGGGGTCCCCCAGCCTGCAGAGCCATCTCTGCATGTGGGACGCCCCAGAGGGACCCCAGAGTGAGTGTGTGTGGGGGTCCCACTGGGAAATGGTCGGGGGGGGGGGGGCTTCGAGTCCTGGCTGGAGGTGAAGAGAGGGTGCACTCCGGGCACTGGGGGGGGGGGATGCGGGAGAAGAACCTTCCTGGAGGGGGGGCTCCGGGGCCGCCCCCGGATCGGGGGGGTGGTGCCTACCTTGCCGAAGCAGTCCAGGGGCTCGGTGCCCGAGAAGCCGCAGTCGTGCACGCCCAGGGGCGTGGTGGAGAACGTGTCCTTGCGCTCCAGAAGCAGCCCCAGGTAGCACCAGGCCAGGGCTGGGGGCAGGGGGAGGGAGAGAGGGGCGCTAGGCAGGGAGGCGGCCAGCAGGGGGTGCATGCACGGGGGTCCAGCCCCGGGGAACCGCTGCCCTACCTCGGGGCTGGGCGTCCGGGGACTTGACCACCTGGCGCAGCAGGGCCAGCGCGCGGTTGAAGGCCGGCAGCCGCCTCTGCTCCCCGCGGCCCAGCTCCAGGGAGAGGCCGTCCAGCCTGCAGAGACGGGGCGCTGCTGACGGCCGGGCCGGGGGAGGGGGCAGCGCCGCCAGCCCCCTGCCCACCCCGCCCGCCCCCCCCCCCCCACCTCCCCCGGCCAGACCTGATGAGGAGGGTCACCATGCTGAGGTACCAGCCCCTCTTCTCCTCCGCCGGGATCTGGGGAAGCAGAGAAGGGCGCCGCGTGTGAGTGAGATGCTCAGACCACTGCACCCCGAGAAGCCACACGCACCCCCGCTCCATCACCTTCACGGTCCAGGCCCTGCCGGGTACCAGCCCCCTGGGGATGCCCCAAGTGGAACATCTCTGTTCTGGGCTCTGGACCCCCGCCTGCACCTCCCATCCCCGCTCCCGCCTGGGGCACTTGGAGTGTGAGTTGGGGTGAAGCCCAGACCCCCCTGAATGCCACCCCCTTGCTATTCATGCCAGCCCCGCCTGCAAGTAGACCGGCGTGGGCACCGGATAAAATATTTATGCCGTTATTTATGGGAGTAGCTGTTCCTGCCTCGGGAAGGAATTTTTAATGAAAGCCAATAAAACCCCCAGTGCATAGCGGCAGCTCCGCCACGGGACACCCGCCTGCCCCATCCATCTCGCTTGTGATCTCCAAGCCCAGCCCCGACCCCCAACAGCTGCTGCCTGAGCTCTGGACGCCCCTGAAGCCCCTCCCTGCAGCCCGGGGCCTAGGCTGCGTTTCTGAGCACCGTGAGACCCTCTGGTGGAGGCCCTCTGGTGGATGCCGGAGACTCCCCCACATGCTGGTCAGGGCCACGTGCCCCATGCCCCACCACCACCCCACCAGGCAGGGTTAGCAGACCCAGCCAGAGATCACAGGGCTGAATCACCGACTGTCCCGGCCTGAAGCTTGACACCCCCCACTTCAGTCTCAGCAACCCACCCACTCCCCTCCCCTTCTGTTTCACAGAAGACACTGAGGCACAGGTGTCCCTGGCTCAAGGTCACACAGCATGGCTACAGCAAAGTCTGGATTCGAACCCAGTGTGTTAGGGTCCGAAACCCGTGCTCAGAGCTCAGTGTCTAGCTCAGCGCTTGCCTTGCAGGTATGAGCCTCAGTCCTAGGCTTGATCCCTGACACCACGAAAAGAAAATACACAAGTGTCTCTGTGGCCCGTGGCACTGAACTGATGGTCTTGGCCGAGTCCTGCCGGGAGTGACTCTGCCCCCTTACCCAGCACCTCTTGGCGGCCCCCTTCTCCCCTCAAAAAAAAAAAGCACCGAAGCAGAAAACAAAAATGCAACAACAGAAACTATTTTAAGCCCAGGCTCCCCTCCCCGTGCTGGGTGCCAATAATTCACACACAGGCAAGGCAGGGGCTGGAGCCCGAGGGGCTGCAGACAGGGCAGGGGGGCGTCCCCGGGAGCTCAGAGGCTCCATGGCTGGGCAGTGGAGCTACGGTCGGGGGAGGAGGCACCCAGGGGCCCCCCCGCTGGACTCTGGACTCTGCGAGCGGGAGGCAGGGGGCTGTGGGCAGGCATGAGGGAGGAGGGGCCGGCACACCAGGCGGCCCTGGCCCCAATTCCTGCTCACACTCTGACCCCAGCTCCCCGGCCCTGCTCGCCCTGTCCTCTGGGGGTCTGTGGCCCCCTTGGGCTAAGGGGCCTGAGAGGACAGGCAAGGCCCCCACGAGGAGTCCCCTGTCTGGCGAGACAGTCAGAGGAGCAGCAGGGGCCATGGCAGGGAAGCCGCCAGCTGTGGGTGAGGAAAGGGATTTTCAGATGGGCGCAGTACGAGTGTACGTGCATGTACGAGTGTGTGCACGCGTGTGTGCATGTGTGTGTGAGCGTGTGCATGTGTATATGCGTGCATGCATGTGCGGGCATGTGTGTGCGTGCACCTGCGTGTGTGTGCATGTGTGCACGTGTGTGCATGTAATGTGTGTGCACGTGTATGTGTGCACTGGTGCTGGGGCTCACGGTTAAAGGAGCATGTGTGTACGAAGGGGTGCTGGAGCTCATCTTTGAGTATGTGTGTGAGTGTGCACGTGTGTGTGTATGTGTGTGTGTGCGTGCGAGCGCCCCGGTGCTGGAGCTCCAGGTGGACGAGCATGAGTTTGTGTGTATGCGTGAGGCTGCATGTGTGTGCGCGGGGGAACGGGCCAGCTGGCGTCCTTCAGGACAGAAGCGGACCCTGACTGCCAGACTCTGAACCTGGAGCTCACCTGCAGGGCAGGGCTCAGGCCCCAGAGAGCTCCGTGTCTGCTCGGGCACTGGCCTTGCCTACAGCCCCCCCCCCCCCCACTCGACAGCTTTGAAGTCCAGCATCACACATGGTCCTGGGCGCAGGTGGGCCAGGCCTGTTCCTCTCTGAAAGGCGAGTGAGCCAAAGGCCATGTGGGGCAGTGAGGCAGTGTCTACTGCGAATGCAGAGAGTGGCCTCCAGACTCCTGATTTGCTTAGGGCTGACTGCCGAGGGTGGTGGTGGTGGTGGGGGGGGTGCCAGGGGATGCTCTGCCCATTTGGTCCTATCTCAGTTTCCTGTGGGGCAGCACAGCCTCTGGCCCTGAAGCCCAGAGTCACCCACTGCATCCCACTCTCCACCCACCCAGTGCTGGAGGGGCCAAGTCCCTCTCCCAGACTCTGGTATTCAAGCTGCAAGAAAGGAAGCTACCCAAAAGGAGAGAGAGAGAACAAAAGGGAATGCCCTGCCACAGAGGCAGGGTAGGATGGGGGGATGGGGGGTGGGAGGGATACTGGGACCCGTGGTGGTGGAGGATGGGCGCTGGTGGAGGGATGGGTACTTGATCATTGTATAACTGAAACCCAAGCACAAAAATTTGTAAGTCTATAACTGTACCTCATGGTGTTTCACTAATAAAAAAAATAAGTAAATAAATAAAAAATGGGGTGTGTATAAAGAGTGGGGGAACACTTGGACAGTGATGGAGGAAAGTGGACACTCTGTTGAAGGGTGTGATGCTGGAAATTTTATGCATGAAAGAGTTTATGCATGAAATTCTACCATTAATCGTATTGCTAATCAAGTTGCCTGAAAATAAAATAAAATAAAATAAATTATATTTCCAAAAAAAAAAAAAGAAGGAAGCTACACGCCAGAACCTGGGACCTGCTTCCACCCGTGCTTCCTTACTCCCGGCTCCACGCCTGCCCACAGCCCTCAGTTCTCTTAAATTCCCTCCTTATTCCATATCTGAGGCTGCCGAGACCGCGCGCCCCAGTTAGTAACTGCAGGGCTTAAAAGCCTGGGGTTTCTCCCACACTCGGAAACGCGAACCCAGGCTGGTTTAGGGCCACACTTGAGAAGCAACACTGCCACCTGGTGGCAGCATGTCAGAATTGCAGGAGCAACTCCGAAGCCGCCTGGCTCCCCTTCTGCTTCCCCTGAAAACTGGATTTTCAGTGACATGGCGAGCTGAAGTAACGTCTGCCTGAGAAGTCCCAGATGCAGCTCCTCGCCTGATCCTACTCAGAGTAACAGTTTCAAGAGTTCTGGTGCCCATGCGGGGTTTGCAAGCGGCCTCCGCCTGGTGAGGGTGCAGGCGCTCATTCTCTGGTGTTCGTTCTGGCCCCGGAATGGGCTGTCTCTTTAAAAATCCTTCTGGTTGTAACTGAAGCAGCCGCTGAAGCTGTTACCAGGGGCAACCTGGCAAGCCACCGTGCGTTAAATTAAATTAAACAGGCCTCTGACTGCCCCCGCCCCTCCTGGAGGAGGGAGGCTTCACTCCACACTCTCCCCGAGAATAAAGTTGCTGTGAAACCTCTCCTGGCTGTGACGAGGAGGAATTCACTGGCAGAGCTGCCGGCTCCCAGGGGCTGGATGTTTGGAGGCAGCTGGGAGGGCGCAAAGGACTCCAGTGGCCAGGAGGGGGCTGGGGTGGGACACCCCACCCTCCCCCTTGTGGGGTCTCATCACAGCCTGCAAGCGAGGGGCCTCGCTGGTCGGCGTGGGGGTCAGCCTCTGCCCCCTCCCCGGCATCTGGGTTGGGCGAAGGCTGGTCTCCAGCAGGAACCCGGCTGCCGCAGGGGAGTGACGCTGGTTTAGGGGTGCGTGGGACCCCCTCCCGTAGCTCTGAGGTGTCACGGCGGTGACTCCTGTTTCAAGAGCGGGAAACGCAGGCCCAGAGAGGCAGCTGCTGGCCTGTTCCCTGCAGCTCAGTCCTTCCTGGCTCCACGTTCCTCCCCCAGGACACGGAGCCGGTGTTCGCTCAGCACTTGGCATCGACGGAGTGCTCTCACGCTCGGGGCTCCCTTGTGGGATGTGAGGTGGGGGACACATGCCCCCCCCACCCGGCATCCAGCTCAGATGACACCCTCCCACGCACGGCCAGCGAGAAACCTGGCTTCCACCCAGTGATTTTTGTTTTTTCAAAAATTCCATTTCCTGGGGCTGGAGCGATAAGCCAGCAGGTAGGGCACTTGCCTGGCACGTAGACGACCTTGGTTATGATCCCCGGCACCACATATGGTCCTGGAGCACTGCCAGGAGTGATCCCTGAGGGCAGAGCCAGGAGTAAACCCTGAGCACTGCCGGAGGAGCCCCCAAATCTTGTTTATTTTCTTCTTCTTTGGAGTGGGGGCTGTACTGTGCTGGGGATCAAGCCCAGGGCCTCACACAGGCCAGGCTCGGGCTGACAGGTCCCTGGAAACGGGGCCCCACAGGCTCCTACCTGCAGAACCCCGTTGGCTGAGCACTTGCAGTGCACATGGTTCATACGAGGCCACCCCTCAGGCCTCGGCAGCAGGACCCTGACTTTACAGAGTGGCACAGCTGGGAGGGGGCCGGGTGGGGACCCAGCAGCCTGGCTGCAGTGTTCCTGCACCTAATGCCCTAGACCTGTTGGTTCTTGGGGTGTGGCCCCAAACCCGCAGCAGCGGCAGGCCCTGGGGGTTGGGCAGGTGTGCACGTGCGTTCAGGGACTCAGAAATGCTGGCGGGGCCCTGCGGCCTGTGTTCCAGCTCCCCCTGCTGCAGACGGGGGTCGGGAGGGGTTGGGGGTGGGCTCCAGACTTGCCTGCATCTCTTGTTTTGGGAGGGCGGGGGCTCAGGCAAACCCAGAGGAGCTCAGGATTTTTCCTGGATCTGTGCCCAGAGTGACCCCTGGAGAGGCCCGGGGGACCCTCTCTGGTACTGGGGCCTCGGATTGGGGCCGTTTGAGGGGACTGGGCCCTTTTCAGGGGTTT